TGCCGCTGAGCTAAATCCCCAGCCCCCAAAAATGACATTTTAAACTAATTTGTGTCAATATATTACAAAGCATGAATTAAATGGTTAAAATTACTAAAAGAAAGAACCACTCACAAATGTATGAACATTATTAGTACCACGAAGAGTAAATACATTTAGTTGATAAGGAAAATGTTTCCTCAAAGAAAATCCTAGGCTCATGATTTTTCATGGTTAAGTTTTATATCTTATTTAAGAAACAGGTACTTTTACTATTTCTCAATGTTTTCTTTCTTATTTTAAAGATAAAAGAACGAACATACATTAACAAACAGCAAAAAAATGTAAATTAATATGTAAATATTACAAAATATCAAAAAATCGTCTCATAAAAAAAAAGGTATTTGTTGTAAATGACAAAAGGTTACTCTAGTACATACAGAGAACTCCATAAATCATTTTAAAAAAGACTGCAATGTAGATAACAAAGTATAATGGTCAACAAACATATAAAATAGAGCTCCACTTCACCATAATCTTAGAAATGCAACTTAAAACCACAGTAAAACTCTAATTTAAAAACAAGACAATAACGAGTGTTGACAATGATGTACATTAACGGATATTTCCAAAACATTGCTGCAATGTGTGTATGTGATCAAATGCCACTGTATAGAAATTTAAGAAATTAGAAAAGTAAATCAATTTTGTTTTTTCTTGTTTCTTTAAATATTCAATAAAACTTTTATTTTGCATATTACTGAAAGGCACAAGCATGTGTAGTAAAAATATTTTAAAATGTATAGAAACCTAACAATTAATTCAGAAGAGTGAATATCAGTTGAGAAGAGGTAAGGAAGAGAAGGAATGTAACCAGGGCAAGTTACAAGGAGGATTTATTAGGCTTGAATTTTTTTAAACCTTAAAATAATAATTTGACATTCCTTGTATTTTCTCCACACAATTTATAACTCTGATCTAATTCATGATTTGGAAACTATATTCCCACTAAGAAGGGGTTAAACGTTTCAATCAAGAATTATAAGAAATTCAGGAATAAAACAAAACTACTTATTGAAGCATGCTGCTGGGATGCTTAAAGGCAACTCTGTAAGCCTTCTTAGAGTGTGATTAAGGAAGTGATTAAAAAAAACTCCAAATAAACAAGCACCAAAAGTTACACACGTGTAACAGCAAATAACTGAGAAAATGCTTACAATGCAAACAGTGCATCGTTTTATGAACCTTTATGGGTTTTGAGTGTTCCACTTTATTAAAACGGACAGAGAATATGTACAAAACACGTGCTTCTTAAACTACAAATATAGTTTTCACTGTCAGTTTGTTAGCAACGCTATTTTCAAGTAACTTGAAAACTGAGATAAAATTGCTTTGCATTTCACTAGCATTAAAAGTAGTGTATTAACCATATTTTCATGTACTCATTTATCCATGAAGTACACAGAAATGCTTTCTTCATGGATTCTAAAACAAAAAAAAGACTCTTAATAAGCATACAAAACACAACAGAGTCTGAGGAGCAGACACAGCTATACTGAAAAATTAGATCATTTTTCATTGACAGCACTTTCCCACCCCTTTGCTTCCAACAAAGCCAGCCAAAATTTCTCTAAGCTGACATCATAAGCATCCTACTAACAGGAGGGTCTTCACTTTACTCCTTCTCTCAGTTACTATATTACAACTTTTTCCAGATTAGCAAATTAAAGCAATGCTGTACTGTAGTATCTTCTACTTCCTTGCCACCTTCTTTGGGATTTTTACCTGAAATCTGTATTGTAATCATATTCAACAAAATGCTGCATTTTTCCACATTAATGGAATTTAAGACTACTCAATACCACTTCTTGAACACCCAAATAAAATCTTAGGATAACAAAAATACAAATTAATAGACAGAAAAAGAATCTAACTATACACCAAGACTGCTAACAATCTGATATCAAGCACAGGAGTAAATAAAACTTGTGAAAGTTTTATTTTGCCTGTGAAAACAGGCAAAATACACCTCCGGCTTGCCTTGTGAAAGACAGAATTCCCAATCAAATCAGGAAGATATTTTGTACCCTGCCACTAACTTACTTGTACTCCTTCCCATACCATAAGCTATAAAGAATCTTTAGTAGAACAATATCAATACATTAAAGAATAGTGTACAAAAGGTAACCAAAAGGAGTGAATATTTATAAGTGTGTTACAGTAAAAGACACATTGCTATGAATCCCCCTCAGAATGCTCACCCTCCCTTCGAACACACTTGTCCCATCATTTTCATTACTTTCTGAAGTGGTTCCGGAAGTCCCTTTTCAAGTTTTTAAATGTGATAAAAAATTCATTGAATCATGATGCTGAATGCCACTGAAAAGAAAGACAGGTTTTTGAAGGTATTACTGTGTCCTCATCTACCTTACTCAGCAGATCTTATAGCAGGTGACTTTCAGCTTTTCCCCAAAGTTAAATGGAATGTGAAAGGTAAATGTATTGAATGAATCAAGAGGATTGAGGCAGCCCCAACAATGGAACCAAAGACACTTACAAAAGTGGGCGTCCAGAAAGTGGTAAGAATGATGGGTGTGTTCAAAGAGGAGGAGTATTTTGATGGGGATTGATGGTAATGTGCCCTTTGCTGTAATACATGTTAAAAATTTAAACATTCACCATGGTATTTTAGGAAAGTCTACTGGAAACAGCAATGATACAGGAACTATACATCTCCTGTAGTCAGGGAAGACACTCTCCCCTCTGCATGGAACAGTTCACCCAAACCAACAGTTGACAGAGATGGAGCATGGGCATGATCTATGTTAGAGCCTACTTAAAGCTCTTAAACGTAAAAATGCTTTAAGTAGTAGAACATTTCAAAGAAACAATCTTGGCCTCCAGAAGAACCTACAATGATGTGGATTCTATGACTCAGGAACAGAAAATCATAGGAAAGAACACTATGAGATGAAAAGAATTGCTCAGGATTTAGCTCAGTGGCACAGCACCTGCCTGGCAAGCGCAAGGTCATGAGTTCGATTCCCAGTACCAGAAAAAAACAAACAAACAAACAAATAAATAAATAAAAACCAAACAAACAAACAAAAAAAGGGATAGAAAGAATTTCAAAAGTAGGATAAAAGCATGCAATATGTATTGAGCAGTGCATTTTAAACATATAAATAAACATAAAACTAAAAGATATAGAAGAAAAAACATGCTTGAAGTATAATAATTTTACCTATAATCTTAGCATAAATATTACAAGAGAAATTTTCAAGTTCTAAGCAAAAGACGTTAAAGCAGACATAAATTCAGCTGTATACTGGAAATATATATTTTAACCTGTAAGGATAAAGAAAAAATAATTCTACCATTTATAATCCAGATATATAGCAAGTAGGGATGAGCTCGTAAGAAACTGAATTTATTTTGGTCACCTTCTTCCCTACAGCAGCACTACTCCCAGAATGCAGCTGGGCACACACTAATTCTCCGATGGTTTTGGGATTCAACATTCATTACCGACCAAAAGCTGTCTTCATATCTGAGGCCACAGAAAAATAGTCTTTAAAATACAAAAGCATGAAATGTGTTTGAAATTTTACAAAGGTATAAACACTGACTGAAAATTTAAAAAAAGGAATGAAGAAATAGGAAGAGATCTTGTATTTGGCCTTGAAGATGGGTAAAACACAGATATATAATAGATTTGCTAAAATACTAGTCAAAAACTATACATATTATTTATAATTAGAATATTTTATAAATATATATTTACCCCATACATGTATCAATACATACTGTAGTACATAAAATATATACACATAATATGTATATTAAAATTACATGATTTAAATCAATAATCATGGAAATGCACCAATACTGAAAATTATACACTAAAGAAAAAAGAAACTAAATTCTGTTTACAAAGGAAGTACTCTGAAAAAAATTTAAACAAAGTTCTGGCTATTAAGGAAAACAGGCACAAAATATTTGAGCTAATTTGAAGGCTAAAATTCTATAACATGTCCTATACCTTTCAAAATGTCCATGAATATTTATAAATTATTTTTAAAACTACCATGCACATAGGGGGAGAAAAAAACAAAGGAAAAAGAAAATATGAAACGCAGAACATGCAGAACATAATGGAAGGAGTAAAATCAACTACTGTCATTATAAGTATAAAAAGCAAAACAAGAAGCCATGAATACATGAAATATAGATAATTTAATAATGCCTTAAGAGATTGCTGCCTCATTACAAGAATGTGTAGCACCAATTTCAGAATTGTTGTGATGTAAAGATGTGTGTACCAAACTCATCGTGGTGTACCTTATAGATACAATACGCAACTAAAATAAAGGAAAATCAATACAGGAAACAGAAAGTAGAAAATAAGCAAAGATCAAAGCTAAATTATGTTTCTGATTAAAGTGTCAAGTTTTCTAGAGAAACAATGTGATTTTTCTCAGTTTGGCCCGTGTATTGCCCCAGGTCTGATTAACACAGTACCGTAAGCAGTTGAGGTTGTGCTAATTGCCATTTATAACAACACCCCAAAGGCAGAAACAGTACATCACCCTATCTACTATTTTCTTTCTCTGCTTGCTATATTTTTTCTTGATATAATTAGATATAATATAATAAGATTTAATTCTAATTTAAATGTTCTTCAGAAACAAGGACTATATTGGAGAACTCTCATATTTGTTTCAGTTCTAGCATAGTACCAGACAGAGTAGCAGCTCAACAAAAATATCCCTACACTCTTTGTCATCCCCTAAGCAGAATCCTTATAAAACAGTAATATAGAACACAGGCATGTGCACACACACATTTACATTAAGATCCAAGTTTTTCAAAGTATAGCAATTCATAAAATCATATTGAGTTGTTTCCTCAACTTATTTTTGGAATATTATCTCTATATGGTTTCTAAAATCTGAAATACTCACATAACTTAGGTTGTATAATTTCAAGTATTTTTGATATCTGTACATGCATAAACTTACAGGCAAACTGGAGTTTGGCTTCTCTGCTGACAACTGTTCCAAGTGAATTTGTTGCAAAACACTGGTAACTTCCGGTATCCCAATTTCTGTTGGGGTTAAAAACCACAAGATTTCCACCATTCAACTTGTAACGATGTTCCATGCTCATATCGATATTACTTCCATTCAGCTGCCATCTGTCAAAAGAAATGTCAAGGGTTTTTCCCTTCTCTTAGACTTTTTTCCAGGTAGTAGGGATTGAACCCAAGCCCTCTGCCCTGAGCTACATCCCAAACACATTTTCTTTGAGGTCGGTTCTCACTAAATTGCTATGCTTCCCAAGCTGAACTCAAACTTGAGATCTTCATATCTCAGCCTCCCCAAGTGCTAAGATTATACGAATATGCCACCATACCCAACTAGCATTATAACATTTTTTTAAAGAGAATAAAAAATAACAATAGCAAAATACCAACAACATAGACAAAAATAAAACAAAGCAAAAACAACAACAAAAAAAATGATACAGGGTTTCAGAACAAAATGATAGGAATTAACAGCTCCTTTTATATTCCATATTGTTATTCAGTGAAGTTGCTCAGATTACCAGATTTAAGAATGCAAGGTTGATCAAACCATCAAGGAGAATAAAAAATAAAAACAAAAAAAGTAAAAACAATACAGAGTTTCACTACACAAGATGGTAGGAATTCACCAATGGTGGTTATATTGCACATTGTTGCCTTCAAATTAATTTTCAGATTACCAGATATAAATATTCAGAATTGGTCAAAATACTTAAACATTAACTGTTTTTTTCAATAAACCATTAGACATCAGCAGTACAGTTATCCCAGCTATCCTTATATACGTGTGCATTTTCCCTTTCTTCTTTCTTTCCTTTTCTCCTTTCCCTCATCCCAATTGTTGCTTCCTTTGAGCAACTTCTTTCCAGCATTTTTAAATTTGAAAGAAGACTCTACATCGTTAAATGCACTTTACACATTATTCCCCCATGAATGAAAAGTGATATATACATTATTTGAATAAGTCAGCGTGACCATGTATTTATCAAAAAGCACATATTAAAATACAGTAGAAATGACAACAAAGTAAGATCTGAAAAAGACATTTAAAGGTTTCCTGAACAGGTGAGAATAATTTAGTTTGTTCACACAAGGATAAAATTAGGCTAGGTCTTTATAGACAAAGATAAAGTAAAAGTTGAGAAAATTGTCTTAGATACTTCAGACCACTCTCCTGCTGACAATGAAAGCAGAAAGAGCACATTTCTTTGATCTACCAGACTGACTGAACACATTTAATAAATTAATTGAGTAAGTGTTCAACTATTCTTTTCAATTTGTCTGGGTAAATACCTGTCTCCAAGGCATTCTCTACTTTTCAGTGCAATCACGGTCCTATTTACAAAATGGTACACTGTACTAAAAGACCTAAACACCACGCAGGAGGTCTGAAAAAGCGAAGCCATGAACCCCAGTGACATACTTATCAATGGGAAGCCTGAAAGAAGAAAGCAGCTTGTTTTTAAATGTTTTAACTAGAAAAGTAAGAGTTTTTGAACAATAAGTACACCAGATACATCAAAGTTGATTTCACCTTTGAAAACTCACTCATATAGCACAATTTCAAGGACACAGAATTATATAAATTTAAAAATGCATTTCCTAGACACCTCAATTGCAACAATAAAATAGCACTGCTGTCAGTTCTATACTCTCTAGCATAGTATGAAAATCATCTCTGTAGTTCTTCATTTAAATGTTGGAGAAGTGGTTAAAACAATGTCTATTTTTAGATGAGAATTTCAATAAACAATTTGTAAGAGTAGTAAACTCTCCATTAATTATTATTAATTCCCCCAATCTATTCACTGTCCCCAGTCTAGATCATAGTTCTTCGATTATACAATGAGACAAGTCAAAATGGACTAGTATACAAAACATTGGCTCTGTATACCTCCCTCCACTGTGAAAGTGTAAGTGGAGCCAGATGGCGAACATCATCTCAAAGAGAAATGAAGCCAGTGTACAAAACTGTGAAAATGGATGAGCTGGCAAACAACGGCACATAAAAAAGCAAGTGTAAAACTGCAGTTTGGCACCATTTACATGAAGTTTAAAAACATCTACAGTAATACTGAGAGTGGACTAATGTACTTTTAGTGTATGAAAGTAGCAAACATCCATAATAAGGTATCATGAAGAGAGCAGAGGCCATGTTTAAGGGTCATTCAGTAGGAAATTCAGCTTTTTGCTTTTACTTCCCAAACTAAGTAGTGGTCATATGAACATTTATCATTATATTTTATTGCATATTGATATCATTTTCTATATATATAATAAGACATAATGAAATTTAAGTGCCTGGTAAGGGTAGAAAATAAGTAAGCCTTAAATTTAATGTATTATTCCAGGTACAATTTAATCATTTGCTCATTTTTACAACCAAAGCTTTCTTAATCTTGCTTATAATTTCACATTCAAGTTCCCAAGGCCTGTAGCCACATTTCTACTGACAGAGCAAACAGAAAGGAACAGAAAAAAACACTGGGGCACTGATTGTTCTCTTACAGTCTTAAAAGAACAAAATCAGAAAAGCAAAAGCTGAAGCCTCGTTTTGATTGGTGGCCAATTTCTGCTATGAGTTTTGGTTTGGTTTGCATGTAGAGTTACTCTATGATTCTTCAGGAGCATTTGGCTTTCTTTATTCTGTTTGCACGTATTCTGTGCCCTTAGAGTTTCAAAGTTGAATGACAAGCCCTCGCTAGTCCTTCCCCCTTGTCTTCCTCCTTGAGTCCTAGAACTACAGAAACTCAGAGAAGGAAGTAAATTGCCCTTCCAAATTTGCTTGAACCCTCGGAGCTTACAGATGAGCAGCAGCTGTGCCGTCTGAGTACGATAGGAAAATGCACAGTTCTGATCTGCTGACTCAGAATCTATGCCTTCAGAGAGCTTGGAAAATCTCACATGCACATTCAAGTTTGAGAAGAAACTTCCTCACCTCCACAATGAGCCAGTTTCCTATTCAACAACTTTGATTGGCAAGGTCATCTTTCCTTCCTGGCCTCAGTCAGTGAAAAGAGATTTATTGAGTGTCTTTATGTCAGGGAATTTTCTAGGTCCTAAAGCTATGGTAACAGCTTCTTAATTTTATGGCGCTTTGCAGAGGACCACCTAGGTGACTCTCCTTGGAAGAGGAGCAATTGCCTTCATTTTGGCTGAACTTAACCCTATTTCCATGTATTGATATGTACAGAGCTGGCTAGGACCCCTTCCTTATCCCTTCAATTGGCTTTAAGCAATGCATATTGCTCTAGGAAAGGTGCTGATGGTAATCTTTGGTGTAGACAGGCGTGTTTGCCCAGACCCTGTTGCTCCCTCCAGTGGGCTGGGATGAGCTAGGATGTGTGAGACAATGTTCCACACTGTTGGCTGGAATTGAGCCTTGTGATACAGGCTATGACTTCCTGGGGCTTCAAATATTACACATCAGAGATGCAGCACCGACACCAAAATATTAGATACTATCTCAGTTGTGTTATGCAGATTACTCTTTCTGCATATCCTTCTCTGCATTGGCAGAGGTGATTTCAGGCCTCCTACCTAGCCCAGCTCATGGCACCCACCTACTTCCCACAGTTCTCACAGTCACTCATCCTCAAGGCTTTCCCTTCTTCATGAATGAATAAAAACTAGGTTCTGCCTTTGGTCAAGGTCTTTGTCCTGGATGGCTATCATTGTACCTGGACTTGGGACCCCTTGGCTCCCTACAACTACAAATATGCCTTAGTGTCTTTATTCTCGCCATGGGTAGCACTGGAAGTGGTAGATTGGAATTAACTCACTAGAATTCCAATAACTTTTCATGAGATTACAAATATAAACTTCCTCGGCCGTGAGGAGGTCCAGAAAGGGCTCTCTATATCACTTCTCTTTGTTCAAAATTTTTTCTCAATTTCCTAGTTATTGCTCCTGCCCCCACCCCTTTATCTGGTGCTCATTCCCTGGCTAAGCTTTTTGATGGGTTTCTCGCCTCACTAAGATTTCTGCTGAGTCACCATGGCACTGAGCAATTATGGCACCAACCACTGGAGGCCATGTGCTGAGCCCCATCCTTCTTCCTCCGAGTCAAATGATGACTTCCTACTTCCCTTTTTGTGATATTCTGTTTCCTTTTTTCACACTCCCACACAATCCCAGTCTGCTACAGCAGGCAGTCAACCACTTAGGTCCCGCTTCCAGCCTGGCCCTATTTAGCCTTTCTCCCTAGGCTAGGCCCTCAGAAGCTCCACGTCCCTCCTTTCAACGTGGTCTTCTCCATGCCCACAATAAAGGTATTTCTACCATGTATATAGCTTTCTCAAAAGAGTTTTCCTGTTAGTGTGCTGTAAAAGCACAAACAACATAAACAGGGTGTGAAAACGGGGAGAGGGGACAAGCCACTTTTACCCCCTTATATTGTAAGCGGGCTATCCCCACCCAGGGGGCTTGCGGCACTTACATAGTCTCCTTGCCATCCTCCTGCACAGGCTCAAGATGATACAGAGTAAGGACACTGGTCCTTCCTGGTCAGTTAGTTAACCTCCCAAACTTCTCAAATTGACATAGTGAACAACATCCCGGAGCAGTAAGGGCGTGTTCTTCACACCCCAAGATGTAGAACTGCGGAGTGGAAAATCTTCAGACTCCCCAAATTGACACAATGTATCAACCAGAACACTCCCCCTAAGGATGCATATTCCTTCACCCCTTTGCTGTGATTTTATTAGATTCCCAACAAGAACATGTTGGTCATGTGCACCTGCTCCATTTGATGCTCTTGGTCACATCCGCTAATGTGGGACAGATTGCATCTCACACATACGATTTGTCTGCTAGTGTAGTTGCCCTGAGAAGTTAGTCAAAGGTGGGATGAAACACATGCCAGGATTAACTTTTAAGGAATAAAACTGACAGTGAATCACTAAGAAGCTCATTTAACTTGTAAGGTGTATTAAGAGACTCAATACTCAAGTGCAAAAAACTCCTCTAAACTCAAATTAGGACTGATGTTAATTTCACATGCTTTTGAATGGAAGAAACTGTGACAAAGGGTACTTGCAAATTCCTTACACATGAAGCACACTTTGTTTAAGGAAAAAAATCAGTTTTTCAGCTGAGGTGTCAGAATATTT